GGAGGTAGGGAAGGAAGAAACTGATATCAATTTTAGCGCAGCACCAAGAACTCAGGTCACCATCATTTTCCCCCTAGTACTACTTCTCACTGTAGTGCTTTGCACACTGCCTGTCATGTAATACTAAACCAAAGCCATGTTGCCTCAAGATACTCTGAATCCCTATCCACTCAAAACCACAGCTTCTGAGTCGCGATGCATGTACGTCCTTTTACTAGTCAGAGAGTTTGCAATAGTTCAAAGGAAAACCTTTCATTAAACAGCATAGTAACAGACAAAGGAGTAACTGGACATTTCCCTTTAAGCTGGGCATGTTTTCTCATAAGTGGATGCAACAGCAATGGAAGAATGACTGCACATAGCAGTTATATATAGATTACAGTTCACATATACGGAGCCCACATCATTGTAAGTGTCTAGCTCAGTTCAGTTGGGATTCAGTCAAAGGGCCACACTTGAAGACCTAGAAGGCCACATGTGGCCTTGAGGCCCCTGAACTAGAAGATACAGTGGATAGAGAAGCTGGTATGGTGTCAGGAGGACATGAGTTCAAATCGAAGCTCAGACACTTTTGAATTATGTGACTCTAATTGAGTCACTTCACCCATTTGTCTGAGTTACTCATCTTTAAAATGAGGCCCTGCCTCCCAGGGTTGTTGTGTGGATAAAATGAGATAATAATTGTGAAGAGCTTAGCACAGTGCCTGGAACATGTATGGTAAATGTTACAGAAGCATTAGCTATTTTTTATTACGATTATTATTTATTACCATATAAGGGGATCCTGAAACATAGATGAATAGGAAATGGGAATTTTCATGAGTTGCCAGAGTTGACATTTAAAATTGTTTTTAAGGTGTGGTTTCTAGTAGGGAATTAAGTAGGAACTGATTGAATCCCTGAGACCATCTCTTTAGCCTCCTACCCTTCCTTCTCCAAAGGCCACAGTTATCCTATCACCTAACTGCCCTAAGGAGGAAGGACAAGTTCTTCTACCACCTTTGGAGACTAGGAAGAATTACGGTTTCACTCATGTTCTGATGGTTTGGGGAAGAACATAGAGAATCTTTAAATGAAGATGCGATTGTTGTACTCACTATTCATGTTAAGCTAGTTGTGAAAAAGAAACCTTGTGTCTTGGAAGCCAGCCCTGATGACCAGCTTTGTATGAAAGCAATACAGAGAGTGTAAATGGGTTAAAAACATCTGCTTGTAAAGGGAACAAATGTTTCCACTTTTGTTGTTGTTGTTCAGTCATTTCAGTGATGTCCAACTCTTTCTCATTCCATTTTGGGTTTTCTTGGCAAAGATATTGTGGAGGGGTTTACCATTTCCTTCACCAGCTCATTTTATGAATAAGGAACTAAGGCAAACAGAATTAAGGTACTTGCCAAGGGCCACATAGATAGTAAATGTCTGAAGCTGGATTTCAACTCAGAAATATTAGTCTTCCTGATTCCAAGCCCAGTGGTCTATCCACCATACTACCTAGTAGTCCTTACTGTCTCTGATGAATATCATTTAAGTACTAGAGAAGAAAAGGGGTAGTACTTCGTATCTGGTATCGCAAAGATAACCCCAAAAGGCATCACTAAGAGTCTGACATGACTGAAATGACTGAACAAAGGTTCAGGAGAAGGAATATCACCCCTTCTTTATACATACATACATTCCCTGCCTGCCATTCAGGACCATCCCCTGGTGGATATGATGTCATTTCTGATATGGAGAGGAGGAGGAGGTGTGACAGGGCTGAGCCTGCACCATGTTAGAGCAGGCTCTCAGATTGAGGAGATGGATCAGGAACAGTGATATCACAGGTGCATTCCATTTAATAGGGAGAGGAAGCTCTCTCACTGCAGACCCCTGAAGGGGAAATGCCCCCTTCCTGACCTTACCCTACTACGCATAACAGGTTTTTTTTCCCCTTATGGTAATATGTCTCTTTGTAGGAGGTGAATGTTGGTCATAGCTGGGAAATTGCCTCTTGAAGGTCTACTTCTAAACATTTCTCTTAGGGTGTCAACAGAAACCTCCATCCTTGGATCTGGTGCTCAGCTTCTTTCTCCTTCTTGCCCCACAGATAGTCAACTAGACACCAGAGTCCCTCAATACTCAAGTCTGTGATCCTGGGAGGTGACTCCATCTCTCGAAACTTCCTCACATTGTGGTACCATCAGATACAGGCTCAGGGCCTTGAGATGCCCTTTAACTTCTTTTCTACTTAAGCAATTTTTAATTTGTATCCATTTATTATTCTCTCTCTCTCTCTTTCTTTCTCCCTCTCTCTGTCTCTCTCTCTCTCCAACTGTCTGTCTGTCTATCCATATATCTGCCTATTTTATCTATGTATCTATGTATCTATGTATCTATCTGTCTATCTATCCATCTATCACTATCTATTTACATCCTGAAACCTAGAAATAAAGGTAAAGGGAATTTGCAGGAGTAGAAAGCTGAATTTCAAATTTGGTTTTAGGTAGTGCTGACTGACAGGAAATAAAGGAGGCACTGAGTGAATGCCTGAGACCATCTCTTCAGCACCTTATTCTTCCTTCTCCTAAGGCCACAACTGGCTTCTGACCCAGCTCCCCTAAGGAGCAAGGGGAAGGCCTAGCATCTTGTGGCCTCTAGGTGGAGCTTCAGTTCCAGTTAAATTTGGATGGTTTTGGGGAAAAAATAGAACATCTTCAAATTAAGACATGATTGCTGTATCAATCTCTCCTGTTTAGCTGTTTCTGGGAAGGGAACCTTGTGTTTTAAAAGCCAGCTCTACTGCACAGCTATGTATTGATGTAGCAGGAAGCTTGTAATTGGCTTTTCCAAAACCATTCTTTTGGAAGAGGGAGCATCTGTCTCAGACAGATATCATTTAAGGCTTCCCAGAACAGGATCATCCTTCCTCACTCTCACACATACTCAGGGACAGGGCTGAGCCTGCATCATGTCAGATAGATGTTGGAGGTGGAGATGTCACCAAGAATAGTAATATCACAGGCATATTCCTCCTGTTTGGGAGAGGAACCTTCTCATTAAGGACTCCTGAGTGGGGAAATGCCTCTTCCAGCCCTAACTATATTAGACATTCCAGGTTTTTCTTATGTGTTATGATCTGTTTCTTGTTAAGAGGTGAATAGTGGTCTCAATTGTGAAATTGCCTTTTGAGGTTTGACCTCTAAGTATTTCCCTTGGGGCTTCAGTAAAAGCTCTCCTCCTGGATCTGTTTGGAGTATTCCTTTTGGATATTCCAGGATATTCCTTTTCCTTCTTACCTCGCACTTGGTTAACTGGCCAAAGTCACCTGATCTCAAGGATTGGACAGTCAGTGATCCTGGGATGTAACCCCTTCTGTTGACACAATAGGGCATTGTAGTACCATCAGATACAAGATCTGGGCCCTGACATATTCTTCTACTTCTCTTTTAAGCAATTGAGTAAGAAAGGAAAAACCTCTGAGTGATTCATGACAACAATTTTAGCTCAGCACCAAGGACTAGGGCCCCTTAACATTTTTCCTTTAGTGCTGACTTAAGCTCCTTCTTACTGTAGTATCTGGGACTTTCTCTCTTACATAAAACCCCAGCTAAGCTATGCTACTTCAAGTACTCTGGGGGTCCCTATCCAACTGAAACTACATTTTGCAAGTGCCCACAGGCTTCTTTTCAGTTCTTAGTGAGGATGTAATTAATTCAAAGCAGAAATATTTAATGAGACAGTCCAGTAAAACACAAGGTTGCGATAATGCATTGTCCCTTTCCAAACTAGGACATGAATTCCCAGAAATCCACGCATCAACATTGGAAGAATGATGACTCAAAGGAATTATATATGTGCTGTACACAGGCATTTCACACTTACTGAGCACACATATGCATAAGCATCTAGGTGACATAGTGGATAGAACAGCGGGTAAGGAATCATGAAGACATGAGTGGAAACTTGGCCTCAGAAATTTTCTGCTTATGTGATTGTGGGCAAGTCACTTCATGGCTGTTTCACCTGTAAAATAAGGATAACAATAGTACCTACATCCTTGGGTAGTTGTGAGGATCAAGTGAGATAAGAATTTTCAAGCACTTAGCACTGGTGCAGCCATATAGGAAGCATGATAAAATGTTAGCCATTAGCAGACAAGCCCATATATCCTGAATCCTAGAAGTACAAGTGAAAGGAATTCTCAGGAGTAGGAAGAGTTCAAATTTGGTTTTAAGGTGTACTGCCTCCTAGGAATAGTAGGAGGAGTTGATTGAATCCCCGAGATGATCTCTTTAGCTTCCTGCTCTTCTCTTAAGGTGGCCGTCACCCTCTGACCTAGCTTCCCTAAGGAACAATGGCAAAATCTAGCAATTCAACAACCTTCGGCCACTGGGAGGAGCGATGGTTTTTCTAAAATTACAATTGTTCTGGGCAGCCATTTGTTGTTGCTGTTTGTGCTTTTTGAGGAGCACCAATGACATCACAAGGGCAATGTCTTGACTTGTAGGTGAATCTGATTAAGGTAAGGTGGAGTTGTGCAAGGGGGTCAGCCTGATGTTTTCTTTCAGAGTCATCAAAGTCCAGGGATAAGAGGAAAGTCAAGAGAACTGGGCTTAGCCCTGGATGCAGTGGATGACCTTGGCATGTGTCTGGGATGTCTGAACAAACTCTAAGTGGTCCACAGCACCTGTTTCAGCTGCTTTCATGGCCATTGCAACTCAGGGTTCTTGTCTGCCCATTCCAAGAACTTAGAGAATCTTCAAAAACAGGCATGACTGTTGTATCCACCATCATGTTTAGCTAGTTCTAGAAAGGAGACTTTGTATCCTGGAAGCCAGTTCTTGATGCACAGCTGTGTACTGAAGGAGAAGGGAGCTTGTCATTGGCTTTTTCAAATAAATTCATTTGGCAGAGGGAACAAGTGTCTCAGATAAAGATCATTTAAGGCTTAGAAGATGGGGAATCACTCCTGCCTACACTCACGCACATTCCTTGTTCACCAACCAATCCAGCCCCACCTGATGAGTAGGATGTCATTAATGACATGCAGATGAGAAAGAGGCAGCCCAGTCAGAACAGCTGCTCAAACTGAGGGAGGGGTGTGGTCAGGAATAGTGACATCCCAGGTACATTCCACCTGTTCAGAAGAATACCCTCCTCACTGCAGACTCCTGAGGGGGAAATGTCCTCTTCCAGATCTGACTCTACAATGCATTCTAAGTTCTTCTTCTCTATGATGTTTTATCTCTTAATGGCAGGTGAATATTTGTTCCAGTGAAGAAATTATCTTGAGATTCAACCTCTAAATACTTCCCTTGGGGCATCAACAGAAGCTCTCTTCCTTCAATCTGTTACCTTCTTCTTCTTACCTCATAGGTGGTCAACTGGATGACAGGGTCATTCAACATCCAAGTTACCTGGTGTCAAGGGCAGGACAGTCAGTGATGTTGGGATGTGACCCCATCTTGGGACACAAAGGGGCATTTTGGTACCGCCAGATACTAGGAAAAGGCCCTGAGATGCTCTTTTACTTCTCTAATAAGGAAGAGAGGGGTAAAGGAGAAATCCCTAATCGATTCAATGCTACACAGGACGACAATTTCCACCTCACCCTCAACATCAGTTCCTTGGAGCAGGGGGATTCTGCTCTCTATCTCTGTGACAGCAGCAAAGACACAGTGCCACAGAGGCACCTCCCATCTGTTCACAAAGCTGTTTGGCCCAAGCCCAGGGAGCAATGAAAGGGGAGGCAGGAAGCAGGAGGCTGACATCAATTCCAGCTCAGCACTAGGGGCAGGGGTCCTTTGTCTTGTTCCCTCCAGTGCTGACATTAGCTACTGCTCATTGAAGTAGCTGGGCCACTCCCTTTCATTTAGTACCCAGCAAAGTGATGTTGGTTCTGCATTCTGTGGGTGCCCAGCCGCTCAAAGCATAGCTCATGAGCCTTCACGGACATACTTGCTTTTTCTAGTCAGGGAGAGGATGCAGTGAATCCAAAGGAAACATTTCATTAAATATGATAGTGAAACACAAAGTAGTAACAGGACACTGTCTCCTCTGAAGCTAAGCTATAGTCTCACATTTGTGTGCATCAACAATGGAAGAATGACACACAGAGCAATCATGTAGCAGGTTATACAAGCAGTTCTCATATATCCCTAAGGATTCATAGGTTCCCAAACATATTTGTCCTACTGCCCCCCTTTAAAAGATCACTGAGCACCCCTTCAACCAATGCACACCTACTTTCCTTACCTTTCAATGTTTTTTTTTTTTGAAATTTGCATCATTTCAAACTATTACTTCCCCATGGACCTTTCCAGTGCCACCTAGGATGTGATATCACCCAATTTGGGAACCTATTATAGATGATACAGTTGAAAAAGCACCAGGTTTGAAATCAGGAAGACATGAGATAAATTTAGGGTGAGACACTTGTTAGGTATGTGACCATGGAGAAGTCACTTTGCCTATCTTCCTCATTTTCCTTGTCTTTTATTCTTTTTGGTGATGCAATCAAAGTTAAGTGACTTGCCCTGGGTCACACAGCTAGTAAGTGTCAAGTAGGTGAGGTTGGATTTGAACTCAGGTCCTTCTGACTCCAGGGCCAGAGCTCTATCTATTGTGCAACCTAGCTGCCCCGTCTGTTTCCCCATCTTTAAAATGGAGATGATAATAGCACCTACCTCTATGGGTTGTTGCAAGGAGCAAATTAGGTATTTTTAAGGCACTTAGCACAGTTCTTGGTGAAGAGTAAGTTTGATATAAATGTCACCTGTTATTATTGTTGTTGTTATTATTATTATTATTTTTATGATTGCAGTTATTTTTTCTTTTTATATAAAGAATTTCTGAAGTGTATAAGTATCAGTAACAGGTATTTTCAAGAGTAGGAAGGGTTGAAGTTCAAATTTGGCTTTAAAGGAAAACATTTCATTAAATAGCATAGTAAAGACAGAAGACTAGCAGTACCTTTCCCTTTGAAGTTGGGGCACATTTCCTCATCAATAGATGCATCAGCAATGGAAGAATGACTGCACACAGCAGTTATATATAGGTTACACAGGCTATTCATATACACTGAGCCCATATTATCATAAGTTTTCAGCACATTTCAATTGGGATTCAGTCAAAGGGCCACACTTGAGGACCTAGAAGCCCACATGTGGCCTTGAGGCACCCCCTGAAATAGAAGATACAGTGGTATGGTGTTACGAGAACATGAGTTCAAATCGAGGCTCAGACACTTTTGAATTATGTGACTCTAATTGAGTCACTTTACCCATTTGCCTGAGTTACTCATCTTTAAGGTGAGGCCCTGCCTCCATGTTATGTGGATAGAATGAGATGATAATTGTGAAGAGCTTAGCACAGTGCCTGGAACATGTATGCTAAATGATACAGAAGCATTAGCTATTTTTTATTATGATTATTAGTTATTACCGTACAAGGGGATCCTGAAACATAGATGAATAAGAAATGGGAATTTTCATGAGTTGCCAGAGTTGAAACTCAAAATTGTTTTTAAGGTGTGGTTGCTAGTAGGGAATGAAATAGGAACTGATTGAATGTCTGAGGTCATCTCTTTGGCACCTTACCCTTCCTTCTCCTAAGGCCACAGCTAACCTTTCACCTAACTGCCCTAAGGAGGAAGGAGAAGTTCTTCTACCACCTTTGGAGACTAGGAAGAATTATGGTTCCAGTCATGTTCAGATGGTCTGGGGAAGAACATAGAGAATGTTTAAATGGAGATGTGATTGTTGTTGTATCCACCACTCATGTTAAGCTAGTTGTGGAAAAGAAACCTTGCGTCTTGGGAGCCAGCCATGATGCCCAGCTTTGTATGAAAGCAGTACAGAGAGTGCAATTAGATTTAAAAAATCATCTGGTAAAGGAACAGCTTTTCCAGTTTTGTTGTTGTTGTTTAGTCATTTCTGTCATGTCTGACACTTCCTCACTCCATTTTGGTGTTCTTGGCAAAGATACCAGGGGGATTTGCCATTTCCTTCACCAGCTCATTTTATGGATGAGAAACTAAGGCAAACAGGATTAAGGTACTTGCCCAGGGCCACATAGATAGTAAGTGTCTGAAGCTGGATTTCAACTCAGAAATATTAGTCTTCCTGATTCCAAGTCCAGTGGTCTATCCACCATACCACCTAGCAGTCCTTACTGTCTCTGATGAATATCATTTAAGTACTAGAGAAGAAAAGGGGTAGTACTTCGGTATCTTTGCAAAGATAACCCCAAAAGGCATCACTAAGAGTCTGACATGACTGAAATGACTGAACAAAGGTTTAGGAGAAGGAATATCACCCCTTCTTTATACATACATACATTCCCTGCCTGGCATTCAGGACCATCCCCACCAGGGGATAGGAATTCATTACAGACATGGAGAGGAGGAGGAGGTGGTGACAGGGCTGAGCCTGCACCATGTTAGAGCAGGCTCTCAGACTGGGGAGATGGATCAGGAGCAGTGATATCACAGGTGCATTCCCTTTGATTGGGAGAGGAACCTTTCTCACTTAAGACTCCTGAAGGGGGAAATGTCCCCTTCTTGACCTTACCCTACCATACATACCAGGTTTTTTTGTCCTATATGATAATATACATCTTAGTAGCAGGTGAATGCAGGTCATAGCTGGGAAACTGCCTCTTGAAATTCTACTTCCAAACATTTCTCTTAGGGCTTCAATAGAAACCTTCCTCCTTGTATCTGTTGCCCAGCTTCTTTCTTCTTCTTGCCCCACGTGTTTTCAACTTGATATCCAACCAGAGTCACTCAATACTTAAGTTATGTGGTGTGAAGGATAGGACAGTGTGTGATCCTGGGATGTGACCCTATCTCTGGACACTTCACTGCACTGTGGTACCATCAGATAGAGGGCCAGGACCTGAGATACCCCTTATATCCTATTGTACTTAAGCAATTTTTAATTGGAATCCATTTATTTTTCTATCTATCCATCTATCCATTTACCTGTCTATTTAATCCATCTCTCTATCAATCCATCCATCCATTCATTTATTTAATCTATCTATCTATCTATCTATCTATCTATCTATCTATCTATCTATCTATCTCTCTATCTCTCTATCTCTCTATCTCTCTATCTATCTATCAATCTATGGCTGTCTATTCATCTATCTATCAATATCTATCTAGATCCTGAAGCCTAGAAATAGTGGTAAAGGGAATTTGCAGGAGTAGAAAGCTGAATTTCAAATTTGGTGTGTAGGTAGTGCTGACTGACAGGAAATAAAGGAGGCACTGAGTGAATGCCTGAGACCATCTTTTCAGCACCTTATTCTTCCTTCTCCTAAGGCCACAACTAGCTTCTGACCCAGCTCCCCTAAGGAGCAAGGGGAAGGCCTAGCATCTTGTGGCCTCTAGGTGGAGCTTCAGTTCCAGTTAAATTTGGATGGTTTGGGGGAAAAAATAGAACCTCTTCAAATTAAGACATGATTGCTGTATCAATCTCTCTTGTTTAGCTGTTTCTGGGAAGGGAACCTTGTGTTTTAAAAGCTAGCTCTACTGCACAGCTATGTATTGAAGGAGTAGGGAGCTGGTAACTGGCTTTTCAAAAAGCATTCTTTTGGCAGAGGGAACAACTGTCTCAGAGAAATATCATTTAAGGCTTCCTAGAACGGGATCATCCTTCCCCACCCTCACACATACTCTGTGCCTGCCATCCAAAGCCAGCCCCACCTGCTGGGTAGGAAGTCATTAATGACTTGCAGAGGAGAAAGAGGGAGGGACAGGGCTGAGCCTGCATCATGTCATGGCAGGATAGATGCGGGAGTGGGGGATTTCACCAAGAACAGTAATATCACTGACATATTCCTGCTTTTTGGGAGAGGAACCTTTCTCATTTCACACTCCTGAGTGGGGAAATGCCTGTTCCAGCCCTGACTATACTAGGCATTCCACGTTTTTCTTATGTGTTCTTATCTGTTTCTTTTTTTTCCTTTTTTTTGTTTTATTTTGAATGAATAAATGAACAGAGATTTATTTAGCACACTATTTACAAAACACTGTGCTAAGTGCTGGACATACAAATAGAAAATCCAAACGTTCTTTATCTCAAGGAGCTCACATTCTAATGGAGAGATGGCAGATACTGGCATTTCAGGCATAAGTCCTATGGAAGGGCTCCATAGTCCTTAGAGTGAAGTCACAAAGCAGATGGTAATACATTTTCGCTGACAAAATCATGTCCTTTGCTGGTTCTGACCCATTTGACAATGCCCAGGACTTTAATTTCACAATGGCATTCTTTTCTGGGTCTTTAATAGCTAAATTTGTGGAGGAGACAGTGGCTTCATTATTCATGGAAGCAATGACTACAATCACCACAAGAAAATAAATTGGAATGACAATAAAACTGTATGTGTTATCATTGTAATAACCATGTTCAGCACTGGAGAAGACAGCTAGCATATTAGAGAAGAATGAACACAAGGTTTGAAGATAGAGGACCTGAATTCAAATCTGTATTGTTACTACCTGTGTGACCTTGGAGAAATCATTAAATCTCCATGAGCTTCAAGTTCCCCTTCTGTAACATGAGGGAGACTCAGACTAGGGAGCTTCTAAGGGCCCTTCTGGATCTAGCTCTATGATTCTATGAGAAAATGCACCTTTCTCCCTTCTTTTTATTTTAATATGAATTTATTTATTTTTAGTTTTCAACATTTACTTTCACAAGATTTGGAATTCCAAGTTTTCACCCCATCTTGTAGTTCCCCCCGCCCCAAGATGGCATGCATTCTGAATATCCCTTCCCCTAGTCTGCCCTCCCTTCTATCCCCCCGCCCCCATTCTCTTATACCCTTCCACTTCTATTTTCGTACAGGGCAGGAGACATTTCTATACCTCATTTTCTGTATTTCTTATTTCCCAGTTGCATGTGGAAACATTTTTTTTAAACATGTGTTTTTAAAACTTTGGGTTCCACATTTTCTCCCTTCCTCCCACCCCACCCACCCTCATTGAAAAGGCAAGGAAGTCAATACAGGCCATACATGTGCAGTTATGCAAAACACTTTCATAGTAGACATGTTGGGAAAAACTAACTCTATTTCCCTTAATCCTATCCTGCCCCCCCTATTTATTCTATTTTTTCTTTTGACCCTGTCCCTCCTCGATCTGTTTCTTTTTAACAGGTGAATACTGGTCCCAATTGTGAAATTGCCTTTTAAGGTTTTACTTCTAAGTATTTCCCTTAGGACTTCAGTAACAGCTTTCCTTCTGGATCTGTTTGGGATATTACTTTTACATATTCCTAGATATTCTTTTTCCTTCTTACCCCACGGGTGTTAACTGGTCAAAGTCACCTGGTCTCAGGGATTGGACAGTCAGTGATCCTGGGATGTAACCCCATCTGTGGACACAATAGGACATTGTGGTACCATCAGACACAAGATGAGGGACCTGGGATATTCTTTTACTTCTCTTTTGAGCAACTGAGTGAGAAAGGAAAAATCTCTGAGCAATTCATGACATCAAGTTTAGCTCAGCACCAGGGACTAGGGCCCCTTAAGGTTTTCCCTTTAGTGCTGACTTTAGCTCCTTCTTACTGTAGTACCTGGGACTCTCCCTGTCATATAAAACCCCAGCTAAGTTATGCTACCTCAAGTACACGGGGGTCCCTATCCGATTGAAATCACATTTTGCAAGTGCCCACAGGTTTCTTTTCAGTTCCTAGTGAGAAGATGTAATTAATTCAAAGCAGAAATATTTAATAAAACAATGCAGTAAAAAACATGGTTGTCTCCTTTGAAGCTAGGACATGACTTCCCAGAGATACAGGCATCAACGTTGGAAGAATGATGACACATGGAAATTATATATGGGCTGTGCACAGGCACTTCACACTTATTGAGCTCACATATTCATAAGCATCTAGGTGACCTTGAAAATAAAACAGCAGGTAAGGAGTCATGAAGACATGAATGTAAACTTGGCCTCAGAAATTTTCTACTTATGTGACTGTGGGTAAGTCACTTCATTGCTGTTTCACCTGTAAAATGGGGATAATAATAGTACCTACTTCCTTGGGTAGTTGTGAGGATCAAGTGAGATAAAATTTTCAAGCGCTTAGCATTGGTGCCGCCACAAAGGAAGCACAATAAAATGTTAGCTATCATACACTCCAGCAGACAAGCCCATATATCCTGAATCCTAGAAGTACAAGTAAAAGGAATTCTGAGGAGTAGGAAGAGTTCATATTTGGTTTTAGGGAGTACTGCCTCCTAGGAATAGTAGGAGGAGTTGATTGAGTCCCTGACAGCATCTCTTTAGCCTCCCATTCTCTTAAGGCTGCAGTTACCCTCTGACCTAGCTCCCCTAAGGAACAATGGCAAGTTCTAGTGAGTCAAGCACCTTTGGCCACTGGGAGGAGCAATGGATGGTTCTTCTTAAATTCCAATTGTTCTGGGGAGTCATTTGTTGTTGTTGTTTGTGCTTTTTGAGGAGCACCAATGACATGAAAAGACTAATGTCTTGACTTGTTGGTGAATCTAATTAAGGTAAGGTGGAGTTGTGCAAGGGGTTCAGCCTGATTTTCTCTTTCAGAGTCATCAAAGTCCAGGGATAAGAGGAAAGTCAAGAGAACTGGGCTTAGCCCTGGATGCAGTGGATGACCTTGGCATGTGTCTGGGATGTCTGAACAAGCTCTAAGTGATCCACAGCTCCTGCTTCAGCTGCTTTCATGGCCATTGCAACTAAGGGTTCTTGTCTGCCCATTCTAAGAACTCAGAGAATCTTCAAAAAAAGTTGAGTGTTGTATACACCACCATGTTTAGCCAGTTGTAGAAAGGAGACTTTGTATTCTGGAAGCTAGTCTTTGATACATAGGTGTGTACTGAAGGAGTAGGGAGCTTGAAATGGGCTTTTTCAAATAAATTCAGTTGGCAAAGGGAACAACTGTCTCACCTAAATATTATATAAGGCTTAGAATATGGGGGGAATCACTCCTGACCACACTCACACACACTCCCTGTTCACCAACCAATCCAGCCCCACCCACCGGGTAGGATGTCATTAGTGACATGCAGATGGGGAAGAGGCAGCCGAGTCAGAGCAACTTCTCAAACTGAGGGAGGGGTGTGGTCAGGAAAGGTGATATCCCAGGTATATTCCAGCTGTTCAAAAGAGGACCCTCTCTCACTGCAGACTGCTGAGGGGGAAATGTCCTCTTGCAGACCTGACTCTACAATGCATTCTAAGTTCTTCTTCTCTATGATGTTTTATCTCTTAATGGCAGGTGAATATTTGTTCCAGTGAAGAAATTATCTTGTGATTCGACCTCTAAATACTTCCCTTGGGGCATCAACAGAAGCTCTCTTCCTTCAATCTGTTACCTTCTTCTTCTTACCTCATAGGTGGTCAACTGGATGACAGGGTCATTCAACATCCAAGATACCTGGTGTCAAGGACGGAACAGTCTGTGATCTTGGAATGTGACCCCATCTCTGGACACGTCAGTGCAGTCTGGTACCGTCAGATACTGGGTCAAGGCCCTGAGATGCTCTTTTCCTTCTATAACAAGGGAGAGAGGGATAAAGGAGAAATCCCTAATCGATTCAGCGCTACACAGGACGACAATTTCTACTTCACCCTGAACATCAGTTCCTTGGAGCAGGGGGATTCTGCTCTCTATCTCTGTGCCAGCAGCAAAGACACAGTGCCACAGAGGCACCTCCCATCTGTTCACAAAGCTGTTTGGCCCAAGCCCAGGGAGCAATGAAAGGGGAGGCAGGAAGCAGGAGGCTGACATCAATTCCAGCTCAGCACCAGGGACTGGGGTCAACTGTCTTGTTCCCTCCAGTGCTGACATTAGCTACTGCTCATTGAAGTAGCTGGGCCACTCCCTTTCACATAGTACCCAGCAAAGTGATGTTAGTTCCTGCATTCTGTGGGTGCCCAGCCACTCAAACCTACGGCTAATGAGCCTTCACGGACGTATTTGGTTTTTCTAGTCAGGGAGAGGATGCAATGAATGCAAAGCAGAAACATTTCATTAAATGTGATAGTCAGACACAAAGTAGTAACAGGACATTGTCTCCTGTGAAGCTGTGCTGTAGTCTCACATGTATGTGCATCAACAATGGAAGAATGACACACATAGCAATCATGTAGCAGGTTACACAAGTAGTTCTCATATATCCCTAAGGATTCGGAGGTTACCAAAGTTGTTTGGCCGACTTCCTCCTTTTAAAAAAAATTACTCAGCCCCCCCCTTAACCAATGTAAATCTACTTTATTTACCCCTTAATGTTTTTTTGGTTTTAAAATTTGCTTCATTTCCAACTACTACCATCCCCATGGACCTTTCCAGTGCCACCTAGGATGTTATATCGTCCAGTTTGGCAATGTATTATGGATGACACAGTTAAAAAAGCATGAGGTTTGAAATCAGGAATACATGAGTTAAAATTTAGGCCCAGACACTTATTAGGTATGTGACTGTGGGGAAGTCACTTTACCTGTTTTCCTCAGTTTCCTCATCTTTTATTCTTTTTGGTGAGGCAATCAAAGTTAAGTGAGTTGCCCAGGGTCACACAGCTAGTAAGTGTCAAATGTATGAGGTTGGATTTGAACTCAGGTCCTTCTGACTCCGGGGCCAGAGCTCTATGCACTGTGCAACTTAGCTGCCCCCTCTGTTTCCCCATCTTTAAAATAGAGATGATTAAAGCCCCTACCTCTGGGGGTTGTTGTGAGGATCAAATTAGATATTTGTAAAGAACTTAGCACAGGGACTGATGAAGAGCAAGTTTGATATAAATGTTAGCTGTTATTATTGTTGTTGTTACTATTATTATTATGTTTTCTTTTTATATAAGGGACTTCTGAAGTATTTTAGTACCAGTAATAGGTATTTTCAGGAGTGGGAAGGGTTGAAGTTCAAATCTGGCTTTAATGAGTGCTGACTAGTAGGAAATGAAAGTGGTGCTAATTAAATCCCTGAAACTCTATCTTTTTAAACCCTATTCTTCCTTCTCCTAAGGTCATGGCTACCCTTCCTACCCAGCTTCCCTGAAGTGAAAGGACAAATCCTGGTGATCCTACCACCTTTGGCTACTAGTAGGAGCTATGATTACATTGTAATTGTGTTGGTTCTGGGAAAAACACAGAGAATGGTCAGATACAGATGTGATTGCTGTAGCCACCACTCATGTTTAACTGGTTCTGGAAAGATCTTTTACCCTGGAAGCCAGCCTGATGAACGGTTGTCTCCTGAAGGAATATGTAACTTATAATTGCCTTTGTTTCTTCCTTTTTTTCCTCCCTTCCTTCCTTTTTCCTTACCTCATGTTTTCTTTCTTTCTTTCTTTCTTTCTTCTTTCTTCTTTCTTTCTTTCTTTCTTTCTTTCTTTCTTTCTTTCTTTCTTTCTTTCTTTCTTTCTTTCTTCCTTCCTTCCTTCCTTCCTTTCTGTCTTTCTGTCTTTCTTTTTTCTTTCTTTCTTCTGTAGACAGAGGGAGCAACTGTGTCTTATAAATATCATTTAAGTCTTGGCGGCAAGGGGGATCAAACTTCCCCACACTCTCATACTTCCTGCTTGCCAGCCAAGGCCAGCCCTACCTGCTGAGTATAATGTCATTAATGACATACAGATGAGGAAGAGGTAGGGACAGGGCTGAGCCCTGTTAGAACAGATTCTTGGATTGGGGAAGGGGCAAGAGAAGGAACAGTGATACCATAGGCACATTCCCCTTGGTCAGGAGAGAAGCTTCTCTCACTGGCGACTCCTGAGGGACGAAATGGCCTCTTCCAGACGTGCACCTACAAAACAGTCCGAGTTTTTCTTCTGTATGATAATTTATTTTTGAATGGCAGGTGATTATTTGTTGCAGTGAAGAAATTATCTTGAGATTCTACCTCTCAATATTTCCCTTGGGGGCATCAACAGAAACTCTCTTCCTTCAATCTGTTACTTTCTTCTTCTTACCTCACAGGTGGTCAACTGGATGCTAGCTAGTGCCTCTCAACTCAACAACATCCAAGTTACCTGGTGTCAAGGACAGGTCAATCAGTGATCCTGAGATGTGACACCATCTCTGGACATGGGAGGGATTTCTGGTCCATCAGATACTGGGTCAGGGTGCTGAGATGCTCTTTTACTTCTATACTAAGCAATTGAATGAGGAAGGCAAAATCTCTGATGGATTCACAGCTCAATAGCATGGGAATTTCCACTTCAGCCTCAATATCAGTTCCTTGGAGCAGGGGGATTCTGCCCTCTCTCTCTGTGCCAGCAACATATACTCAGTGCCACAGAAGCACCTCTCATGTGTTCACAAGCTTGTTTAGCCCAAGTCTAAGAAACAATGACAGGGGAGGTAGGAAAGCAGAAGCCTGACATCAATTTTAGCTCGGCACCAAGAACTTGGGTCACCCATCATTTTCCCTCTAGTACTGTCATTAGCTACTTCTCACTGTAGTACTTTGCACACTGCCTGTCATGTAATACTAAAAAAGCCATGTTGTCTCAAGATACTCTGAATCCCTATCCACTCAAAACCACAGCTTCTGAGCCCCGATGCATGTACATCCTTTTATTAGTCAGAGAGAGTTTGCAATCGTTCAAAGGAAAACCTTTCATTAAACAGCATAGTAAAAGACAAAGGAGTAACAGGACATTTCCCTTTGAAGCTGGGGCACATTTTCTCATAAGTAGATGCAACAGCAATGGAAGAATAACTGCACATAGCAGTCATATGTAGGTTACACAGGCAGTTCACATATGCTGAGCCCAAATCCTTATAAGTGTCTAGCTCATTTCAGTTGGGATTCAGTGAAAGGGCCACACTTGAGGACCCAGAGGGCCACATGTGGCCTTGAGGCTGCAGGTTCCCCACCCCCTGAACTACAAGATACAGTGGATAGAGAAGCTGGTATGGTGTCAGGAGGACATGAGTTCCAATCAAGGCTGAAACAGTTTTGAATTATGTGACTCTAATTGAGTCACTTCACCCATTTGCCTGAGTTACTCATCTTTAAGGTGAGGCCCTGCCTCCCAGGGTTGTTGTGTGGCTAGAAAGAGATAATATTTGTGAAGAGCTTAGCATAGTACCTGGAACATGTATGCTAAATGCTACACAAAGAACATAGAGAATTTTTAAATGGAGATGTGATTGTTGTATCCACCACTCATGTTAAGCTAATTCTGGAAAAGACACCTTGTGTCTTGGAAGCCAGCCCTGATGCCGAACTTTGTATTAAAGCAGTACAGGGAGTGTAATTAGATTTAAAAAATGGTCTGGTAAAGGAACAACTGTTTCCACTTTTGTTGCTGTTGTTCAGTCATTTCTGTCATGTCCAACTCTTCATCGCTCCATTTTGGGTTTTCTTGGCAAAGATATTGTGGAGGGGTTTGCCATTTCCTTCACCAGCTCATTTTTTGGATGAGGCACTAAGGCAAACAGGATTAAGGTACTTGCCCAGGGCCACATATATAGCAATTGTCTTAAGCTGTATTTGAAGCCAGAAAGATTAGCCTTTCTGATTCCCAGTCCAGTGGTCTATCCACTGTACCACCTAGCTGTCCTGACTGTCTCAGATGAATATCACTTAAGTACTAGAGAAGAAAAGGGCTGACCACTTCAGGATCTTTGCAATGATAACCACTAAAGGGTTCGGGAAGAGTCTGACATTTCTGAAATGACTGAACAAAGGTTTAGGAGAAGGTATATCACCCCTTCTTTATACATATGTACATTCCCTGCCTGCCATTTAAGACCATACCCACCTGGGCATAAGATGTCATTACTGATATGGAGAGGAGGAGGAGGTGGTGACAGGGCTGAGCCTGCACCATGTTAGAGCAGGCTGTCAGACTGGGGAGATGGATCAGGAGCAGTGACATCACAGGTGCATTCCATTTGATTGGGAGAGGAAGCTCTCTCACTGCAGACCCCTGAAGGGGAAATGCCATCTTCCTGACCTTACCCTACTACGCATAACAGGTTTTTTTTCCCCTTATGGTAATATGTCTCTTTGTAGGAGGTGAATGTTGGTCATAGCTGGGAAATTGCCTCTTGAAGGTCTACTTCTAAACATTTCTTTTAGGGTGTCAACAGAAACCTCTGTCCTTGGATCTGGTGCTCAGCTTCTTTGTCCTTCTTGTCCCACAGACAGTCAACTAGACACCAGAGTCCCTCAATACTCAAGTTACATGGTGTTAAGGATAGCACGGTCTGTGATCCTGGGACGTGACTCTATCTCTTAACACTTCACCACATTGTTGTACCATCAGATACACGGTCTGGGCCCTGAGATGCTCTTTATATTCTTTTCTACTTAAGCAATTCTTAATTTTTATCCATTTATTATTCTATCTATCTACGTATCTATCTATCTACCTATCTACCTATCTATCTATCTATCTATCTATCTATCTATCTATCTATCTATCTGTCTGTCTGTCTGTCTGTCTGTCTTTGTATCTGCCTATCCATCCATTTATCATTATCTATCTTCATCCTGAAGCCTAAAAGTAGAGGCAAAGGGAATTTGCAGGAGTAGAAAACTGAATTTCAAATTTAGTTTTAGGTAGTGCTGACTAGTAGGAAAGAAAGGAGGCACTGAGTGAATGCCTGAGACCATCTCTTCAGCACCCTATTCTTCCTTCTCCTAAGGCCACAACTAGCTTCTGACCCAGCTCCCCTAAGGAGCAAGGAGAAGCCCTACCATGTAATGGCCTCTAGGTTGAGGTTTAGTTCCAGTCAACGTTGGATGGTTTAGGGGCAAAAATAGAATAT